ATATTCTAAATGATTTCTTGAAAGCAAAGACTAACAAAATTCCTACATCGTAAATATCGATTTAATAAAGATTAGATACAAATTAATTGATCGAAACATCGATTATGAGTAATTTGAGTCGCACAATTCCTCACGATTTGATAGCGGACTTCAGTCGTTGCACATTTACGCTGCCAGATTTAACTTAATCGCATTTAATTAAAGTGCGTCCCCCGGCATCGTCGATAATTCGATGAGTCGACAGAAAATGTTTTCACGTTCCAATTATTGGATCCTATCGAAGTTCTGCTTACGAACACGTACACATACACACGTGTATGACAGTGTGTGCTCGGAATAATCTACAAATTTACAGACGAATCTAATCTCTACCAGTAATTTCTCGCGGGTTTCTTCAAGGTATTGAATTCATATCATTTCTATTCCTTGATATGATGTTATGGTTGTGCTGGGTTAATGTTCTAAATAAATTGCATACAGCTGGAACTTGATTGCAACAGAAATTACTACGTATTTGTGCATCTTCCCACGTGCATTAATATGATAAATCGTCTTGTTGATAGCAAATGGATCAGCAGGAGTGATAGTTCATGACCAAGTACATTGAAAAGCGGAAGATATTTAACCTATGCGATGATATAGGTTTAAGATTTAAAAAAATACTGACAGGTCAATTTAACATATTAAAAACTGTGATTAACAAAATATTTGTGAATTCAACAAGTCAACTAATTGGATTATAAGGGGAAGAGAATGACTCAAGGCAATGACAAAATATGCTCGTGTCGAGGTATAGTTCGAAAAGCAGGCGACAATGAAGTATCAGTTTTTAAGGAATATTTTTCATACATTTTTACATGTGAGTATTCCATTTATTACAAATTTTTTAACTAACAGTAAGCGTTACAAGATTCATGTTTCCCAAAGTTCTGACTACATTTGTTGTCCTAACATGGAATGGTGTGGTAGATGTGACCTTTACAAACGTAGCAGGAAGAAAGACCTCTCGGGATCCCACTACCCATACAACAAAAAGTGTGGGTATACCGGGAGACTAAAAGAATTAAAGGAATGAAGCAAAGGGGGAGCGTGCAGTTGTGAAAGGGCATACGCGAGGTTTCATTTCCGAGAAGGGCTGTAAAGATTGCTCGCGTGCAACCCTCTATATGGCGTTCCCGCAAACTCACGACCATATTGCTCCATAATAATAAGGTTAATGCCTTGCAAATTAAGTAGAAGCGAAAGGTCTTTTGCGTGGCTTTACGTTCATTTAACTACTGAAGCTTGATCTTTGCCTTATGATGCACGATTATTACAATAAGCCATTATGACGATACTCGGTTCAACCTAACCAGATTCGGACCTGTAACGGTACTGATGAATACTTTCGTTAAAGAAACGTATCATGCGAATTTGCTAAATTGTTGAAAGTAGTCACTATGTAATACATGTACGTTTTCTATACTCGGTGTCTTGGAATCGATGGTATACACAATTTGCGGATAATTCTATATACAAATTGTAGTTTTCCATGATTTTCGACAAAAACTGTAAGAAATCTAGAGATCTAGAGAAATCTTTCAGTAGTCATATAAGTGAACAAGATTTACAAAACGCGTTTTTTAAATTTTCGTTATAGGCTTAGATAAAACGGTTAAAAAACGTGTTCTTTATTTCTTTTATCATTGCAAGTAGTAGCGAAATTTAAAAAAACGTATTTTAATCATTATACAGTATCACAACTAGTCCCTGTTTTAAAAGGTGTCCGAATGCGTCTCACTGTATAAAAATAGATTAAAAGAAGAAATAATATCTTTTTCAACATCATTTTTTCAAGAAATTGAGTTTGAAGAATCGTCAGTTCGTGGACCATAGTATTTACAAGTAGATCCGGTAGGTTATGATCAGATGCGTCAGCAGATTGCTATTCAAGAGCTCGCGTATTCGCCGAATCTTCAAACTCAATTTTCTCGAAAACGAAGAGCCAACCGAAAAAAATGTTATTATGTAAATTGTCATTTCTTTGGAGATGAGATTTTCATTGTTTCTCAGCATTGTGTCAAAACAGTGATCCTGCACTTAAATTAAGGTAAATTTAAGAAATGTTATAAACGAAAGTGTGAATTTGAAAATGTTAATGACGCAATTACTGGTTTGGTGTTTTTTAATATGGGTGTTGAAAAAAATTCAATGGAAGAATAAATACAAGATTAACAAGATTAACTGAGAGAGAGAATTTATTCAACCCGAAACGTTATATTTCTTAAAAGTATAAATGTCATAGGTGACAGAGTTAAATGTTGGTTTTCATACAATTCAGAAATATGTTTTAAGAATATAAAAAAATGTAAAAATAATACAACTATTTTATTTTAGTAGAATGCACTTTTTAAGCATGATCCAATTAAATCCATAAATTATTATTTTTTTTAGGACGAGTGAAGTGTTCATTAATATTATTAGATTATTTTACTTAGTATTAAGTTTAGTAGGAATGTTGATAAAATAGTAAATCATTTGTCTCAGTCTAGAGTGGAGGTTGAAACGGGATCAGATTCTCACAGCATGTCATGGTTGATTAAAATACTGCGAATTACATCCGCGTATCAGTATCCGACGCTAACACGACGTAATCGGTGTTACAAGAGCTATTACGAATGTTATCGATAACTGTATAGTACAGTTATCTCCGCTTTCTGTGCAACCATTGATCCGATCCCAACTGTACGAGCGATCATGCAAGCAACTGCTAATTTTTCTTGTAGTTTAATCTGTTAGCGGATCACAACAACAATGATGACACTATTCACGATGACACTACTGATTAATTGTCTTTTTTTCTTTTGTTATAATCATATTCTAGATCATCACACTTTTTACAAGATATTCTGATATGAATTATAAAGCTACTATACATTATAGTAGATGTCACTTTGCTTATATTGTTTATATTATTATATTTTGCTATTGTTCAAGACAAACGAGTTATTCAGTTTTAAATTCCCCACCATGTGTAAGAAACAATCAATTTAAAGACATAATTCATTAAATAGATGTTAGTACTTAGAATATTTTTAAGATCAGTACTATTTCCTAATTTGTATTATATTGCTACAGGTAGATCAATTACCAAATTGTAAATCTGTTGAACTAAAGATAGATACGTAAAAAACAATAAGTGGAAATTGCAGCAGAAGTTTAAATGATTTTTATGATC